TAGGTTATCTCTTTACTCTGCTGATAGTTTCTTTTGCTGTGCAGAAGCTCTTTAGTTTAATTAGATCCCATTTGTTAGTTTTTGGTTTTGTTGGGATTTGTTTTTGGCATCTTCATCATGAAATCTCTGCCAGATCCTATGCCCAGAATGGTATTGTCTAGGTTATCTTACAGGTTGTCATATTTTTATAGTTTTATAGTTTTAGGTTTTACATTTAAGTCTGTAATTCATTGTGAGTTGATTTTTATACATGGTGTAAGGAAGGAGTCCAGTTTCAATCTTTTTATATGGCTAGCAAGTTATCCCAGTACCATTTATTGAATGGGAAGCCCCCTCCCCATTGCTTGTTTTTGTTGACTTTGTCAAAGATTGGATGGTTGCAGGTATGCAGCATTATTTCTGAGCTCTCTATTTTGTTCTATTGGTCTATGTGTCTGTTTTTGTACCGGTGCCATGCTGTTTTGGTTACTGTAGCACTGTCGTATAGTTTGAAGTCATGGTTCCCTCTTTTTACTTTTCTTTTTTCTTTCTCAGAGAAGAGCACGTAACAATGTGGGGTTAGGGATGAGCAGGCAGGTTAGAGTAGTAGAGCTAAAGGCAGATAGAGATCTTGATCCAATTATCTTCATTTCCTTCATTTGTCCAACTTTGCACACTCCTGTATGCAGGGCCTTTGTAAGCTTCACCTTCTGTACAGGTGCCCAGCAACTGTCAAACTAGCCAGGGCTTAACATGAGCACAGGCATTCCCTATGGACTGGCTGGGACACACCCACATCCTTAGATTACACGTTTTGTCTGTAACATGGATAAACTCATTACTAGGTATACAATTCTGTTTTGTTTGGTTTTGCTTTGCTTTGTTTGAGTCAGGGTCTCATTCTGTCATCCAAGCTGGAGTGCAGTGGGACAATCACCACTTACTGCAGCCTGGACTTTCCTGGGCTCAGTGATCCTCCCACCTCAGCCTCCTGAGCAGCTAGGGCTACAGGTGTGCATCACCACTCCCAGCCAATTTTTTTTTTTTTGTCATTTTTTGTAGAGACAGGGTTTCACCATGTTGCCCAGGTTGGTCTTGAACTTCTCGACTGAAGTAATCTGCCTGCCTTGACCTCCTGAAGTGCTGGGATTACAGGTGTGAGGCCCTGCACCCAGCTCAATCCTGTTTTTATACTAGAAGAACATTCTCTATCTGGGTCTTCCCAACTTGATTCTTACTGGTTTATTTGTCCTGTTCTTTTATTGGTCCAGGAAAATATCCTGAACTCTTTATTTCTCCTCCGTTCCCTCCTTGTTCTATCCCTAGCTCTATCTCTTTCCTGAATTAAGTCCGAATACAATCGGTCTTTGAGTGTGAAATAGCTCCTAGCTGTCTATCAGTCAACGGTTTCTCTTTGTGGTCACACTCTATGTTTATTCTGGAGACTACAGCATGGAAAGAAAATGGACTTGGGAGTCAGACAAATCTTGATTCAAATCTTGGTAGTGCCATTCATCAGCTGTGTGGCATTGAGTGCATCAGTGGACGACTCTCTAATCCTCAATTGTCTTATCTGTAAAACGAGATGACACACTCCTGCCCAGGGTTATGGTAGGATTAGAAATAATATGTGTAAGACAGCTTTCCCAGTGCCAGGTACAAGGTAATTGTCCAATAAGAAGTTACAAATGTTCCTGAGTCACCCTTCTGGGTTCCTCTGCACATCCAATGCTGGACTCTTCATGCCCAAGGAAGCATATGGGGCACAAAAGTCAGTGGCACTCAGCTCAGCAGAAGAGGCACAGGAAGGGGATGGGCGGGGCCCTGGCTCCCCCTTTGTCCTTGGGGCCAGGCTTGTGGCCAGCCTGGAAAGACTGACATGAACCCTCCAGCATCTGGGGGTGCCAACCACCAAGAGCAGCACAGTTCTTGTCTACAAGCCACTTGTAGCAGGTGTGAACATTTCATCTTTCCTCTGGGGGTTGCAACTCTCTCCCCAGTCTCGGTCGCTGCCTTTGGTTGTACCACTTCCCTTTTATTCTCGCCTGAACCTCCCTCATCTTTGCTCTATGGTGACATCGCCCTGGGGAAGAGAAGCTGAGAGGAACTCCTCACTCAGCTAGCTTCAGGAGCCATGACATCATCTGTACCATGGAAATTCCGCTCGCTCTGCTGAGCCCCCACATTTGTCCCAGGCCTCAGAGTCTCTATAAAGAGAGATTCCCAACTCAGTATCAGCACAGGACACAGCTGGGTTCTGAAGCTTCTGAGTTCTGTAGCCTCACCTCTGAGAAAACCTCTCTTCCACCAACACCATGAAGCTGTGCGTGACTGTCCTGTCTCTCCTCATGCTAGTAGCTGCCTTCTGCTCTCCAGCACTCTCAGCACCAAGTAAGTCTACTTTCGCAGCTGCTATTTCCAGAGCCGAGGTGCAGGCAGAGTCTTTTATTCTAGTTGTGGCTGCTCAAACAGTGGGATCTGGAGATAGAACAAAAGGCAGCTAGGAAGATTGCCACGAAGTCTGTAGAGTCTAGTAGATATTCAATAACATTCAAGTTCCTATTTTCTTAAGAATGAGCAACCAGCAGAGGAAAAGGATGGGTTGGAAGTCAGACTGTTGAAGTGGCTCTGCCTCTAATTACTTGTTCAAGCAAGCCCTGGCCCTCTCTGTGCCTTGGTTTCCCCATCTGTCACATGAAGGGGATGTGATGTGTTCTGAGACTGAATCCGGTTCCAGTCTTCTACATTTCTTTCTTGTTCTTGTCTGAAGATCCACTATTCAGAATAAGACTCCTGCTCAGGTTAGGTGGGAATGGATACAAGGGACCTTCTTTGGGGTTCTGGTAGCTCCACAAGGATGCTCAATGAAGACGCAAAGTTAGAAGCCAACATAAACAGCTCCCATGTGCAGTGTTGATCTCACCCTGGCCTTTCCTTTCAGTGGGCTCAGACCCTCCCACCGCCTGCTGCTTTTCTTACACCGTGAGGAAGCTTCCTCGCAACTTTGTGGTAGATTACTACGAGACCAGCAGCCTCTGCTCCCAGCCAGCTGTGGTGTGAGTATCAACCCCTGGGCTGCTCTGGGAGGCAAGGGTGAGGGCTGGATTTTAAAAGGGGGCCTGTTTTGGGGAGGGGGTGATTGAGCAGTGGGGAGGCAGCTCTCAGGGCTGAAGGCTTCCCTGAGAGCAGTGAGGACACAGGTCATGAACTCACTTTTCAAGTGCTGAAGGCGGCTGAGTGGGAGCCGAGAGAGAAGGGGGTTCCTGGGGAGGAAGTTATCCAGAGGACAGGAAAGCAGGGGAAGTTGGACAGGTCACATGAGATAGGGACCAATTTCTTAAACCCTGCTAGAAAGACCTGTGGAAAAGTCACTGCCAGGCTGGCAGGGGATGGGGAGATCTGTTCATATTGATTGCAATGCCCATTGGTTCCTAATCTGGGCAACCCCTGGGGCCCACAGCTAACTCCAGTGGGTGGAAGTTACAGGGAGTCTGGTTCCAGTGCTGCCCCAGGAAGGATCCCATGCACCAGAGCTGCCCACATGGACCATGGTCAAGCAGAGGAAGATGCCGACCACAGGCAAGGGATAAAGCCAGATGACCTCAAAGGTCTCATGGGATTCTCATCTGTCCGTTCCTTGTTCTACAGATTCCAGACCAAAAGAGGCAAGCAAGTCTGCGCTGACCCCAGTGAGACCTGGGTCCAGGAGTATGTTAATGACCTGGAACTGAACTGAGCTGCTCAGAGACAGGAAGTCTTCAGGGAAGGTCACCTGAGCCTGGATGCTTCTCCATGAGAGGCATCTTCTCCATACTCAGGACTCCTCTCCACAGTTCCTGTCCCTTCTCTTAATTTAATCTTTTTATGTGCTGTGTTATTGTATTAGGTGTTATTTCCATTATTTATATTTGTTTAGCCAAAGAATAAGTGTCCCCTGTGGGGATGGTCCACATTCACTGTTTCTCTGCTGCTGCAAATACATGGATAACACCGTTAATTCCATGTGTTTTCATAATAAAACTTCAAAATAAAATGCAGACAGTTTCTTTGTGATTTTAATTTGATTTGGGGGTAAAAGGAATTGCCTGGTACTTTTGGGCGGGGGCAAACTACAGTTTCTAAAAGGAGTAAGATTGAGAAATTGCTGAGTTCTTAATATGAGCTCTGGGCTGAGCACTCTTCATACATGCTCTCACTGTGTATTTTCAACAAGGGTTTTAACACCCTTATGAAGTAGGGACTGTTGTCCCCAGTTTCACACTTAAGGAAACAGAGGCACAGAGAGGTGAAGTGACTTGTTGAGGCTCGTAGGTCTGCTTGAGGAGTGTCATGAAAGAATGCCCCAAAAAAGGAGCTTATCATTTCAACATCTTGAGAGGAAGTTGTAAACAGGGGAAGCAGCACAGCAAAGGGGGAAGAAGAGTGAGAAAAGTGACTTCATCCTCTTATTATCAGCGTAACATTGGGAAAGTCATCTTGCCTTATTAGAACTCAGTGTTCACACCTGTGAAATGCGGATAATATTAAACACTGCGAAGGGCTGTTATAAGGTGATGTGTAAAGCACCCATCATGGGACTGGGCCCCTGGAAGATTCTCTCCTTCCCTCTCTGAACTTCAGCCTTTTCAATTAAAATGGACCCAGCAATTATCAGGATCATCATGAGGATTAGATTAGTTGACAGATCAGCACTCTAAAGCCCAAGCTACTGTGAAGTGTTGTCATGAGGACAGAAGGATGGAGGTCTGGTGTTTTTTTTATTTTTATTTTTTGAAACAGAGTCTTGCTCTGTTGCCCAGGCTGGAGTGCAGTGGCGTGATCTCGGCTCACTGAAAGTTCCGCCTCCTGGGTTCATGCCATTCTCCTGCCTCAGCCTCCTGAGTAGCTGGGACCACAAGTGCCCACCACCACACCACGCCGGGCTAATTTTTGTATGTTTAATAGAGACAGGGTTTCACCGTGTTAGCCAGAATGGTCTCGATCTCCTGACCTCATGATCCGTCTTCGTAGGGCTCCCAAACTGCTGGGATTACAGGCGTGAGCCACGGCGCCCAGCCAGAGGTCTGGTTTTGTTTGGAAGTATTGCAGGAGTAACCTAAAGCCACTTCTACTTAATTATCCTTCAATCAGAACTGCCTATTCCATGGGTCAGAGACAACACGGCTCTGAAACAGAATTACATGCACAATAAAGCCTCAGGACATAGACTCGTAGTCTACTAAAGCTAAAAGGAAACTTTAGACCATCTGGTCCAACCCTCTCATTTTATGGAAACTGAGGGCCAAGACCTGGAAGTAACGTGCCACATGCCACTCAGTGAGTACATAGCAGAGCAGGACCCTGGCCAGTGCCAGCTCCTAGACTCGGGTCCTTTCCTGCACACCTTCCCTAGTGACACACCTCTGTGGTCCTCAAAACGGAGACCAGTTGAGTAGGGACAAGGCCGAGAATACCTTGACAATCCTTTGAGTGTTCTTAGTCCTATGCAAAAGCAGAACTGGGGCCCTGTACGTCTCTGGGGTCAACAGACACAATTCCCTTCCTGTCCTGCCCTTAGTCACCTCCGTCATTCCACAGCCCCAGTGGAAGCCTCCTTCAGATTCTGCTGGGACTGGGAGAAGGAGGTTAGGGGGCAGAGCTCATCCAAAACAGGTGTGAGGAGAGGCTAACAGCAAAGAATTTTCCTGGCCGTAGTTTCTGCTTTCATTTGCCTAGATCTGAGCTGTCTAATACGTTAGCCACTGGCCAAAGCAGCTATTAACATTTTCATTGCATTTAATTAAAATGAAATAAAATTTAAAATTTAGTTCCTGAGTCACACTAGTCACATATCAAGTGCTCAGCAGCCCTTGGCAACATGGTTAGTTCCCATGTTGGACAGCATGGATTTTGGACTTTCTGTCCATCATTGCAGAAAGTTCTGCTCGAGAGCACTCTCCTAGAATGTTCTCAGAGCCTACAGAAAGTGAAGGGAGGAGCAGTTGGGATGACCTGTAAGATTAAGGTGTGGATTTGGAGAAAGATACACAATTCTATTATAGGGGATGGGATGGGAGAGCAAATGGATGACCCCAGGCCAGAGACAAGGTATAGATCACTGTGGTAGCTGAATAATGGTCCCCAAGACATCCACATCCTATTCCCCAGAACCTGTCAATGTCACTTTATATGGCAGAAGGAACTCTGGAGATATGATCAAGTTAAGAATCTTGAGATGAGTGGTTGCCTCGAATTACCTGATCAGGCCCTAAATGTAGTTGTAAGTGTCCTTATAAGAGGGAGGAAGAGAAAAATTTGGCAATAGTGGAGAAGGTAGCAATGTGACCACAGAAGCAAGATGCTATGCTGCTGGCTTGGAAGATGGAGGAAGAGACCAGGAGCCAAGAGGTGTGAGGATGCAGCTCTGGAAGCTGGAAAAGGCAAGGAAGTGGTTCCCCCACTAGAGCCTCCAGAGGGAGTGCGGCCCAGGGAAACTAGTTTCAGACTTCTCACCTCCAGAACTTTAAGAGAATAAATATGTGGTTATAAGATGCTAAGTGTGTGGTAATTTTTTTTGCAGTAGTAGGAAACAAATACAACCACCAACTGACGCATCACCAAGGTGACCCCCAATAGCTCTGTGTGGCAGGAAAGGGAACATTCTAGAGGGCGAGCCAAACTCCCTGCAGGAGGGACCCAGGGTGAAAGGGACACACCTCAAGATGAACTATAATGAGGAGAGGCGTCCCAAGGGGAGATCTGCTTCAGCAACTGAGTTCTGGGGCTGAGGCGTGACCCAGGGTCCAGGACCCTTAGGAAGCATGCCTCTTCTAGAGACACCTAGGGCGCTCTGAGGGGTCCTGGATTCCTATCTGGGAGAGTCCATCCTCTTATCTGTCAGATGCAGCCCAGAGCAGAGCCATGACCTGTCTCTGGTTCATTGTTAGTGAGCAGGCATGGCTAGGGCCAGAATCAAGGTCTCCTCCCTCACGATGGAGTCCCTTTCCCACTCAGCAAATGGGAAGAGACGAGCTCAGCTCCACAGAGGCAGGACCACCAGGGAAGGCTGCAGGAGCCTGAGCAGCCTCATGAAGAAATGCTTCACCAGGAATTACAAACGACAGCATGGAATCCTCGAAGTGTGGCAATGTGGGACTTCACCTGTTGCACAATATGAGACTGTTTTTTCCTTTCTCCTCTTTTCATACAACTTCCTTTTCTCACCCTGGGCCCAGAGAGCTGGAATCTGCTTACTTGACATTCCAGTTGAGGTTTCTGCAGGTTTCTGGGTGGGGGCGAAAGCCAGAACAGACAAAGCAGGACACTCGAAAGGAACTATGGATTATGGAGCAATCTCCAGACATCTGGCCTGTCTTCCTGCTCCTTGCAGTGCCCACCTCCCCCAGCTCACTCTCCAGATGGGAGCCCATTTCCTTATGTACGTGTTCCTTTAGGACACGTTCATGCAAACATGTCCTTATCCCCCATCCCACCTCAACCTGGAACCCTCCATCGTGCTCCCATTGACACAGGCATTTTCCTCCAAGGAGGCCAGAAGCCAAGCAAGCCGAGGCAGGGATCAAGGGAGCAAGATGAGCTGAGGATGGTGACAAAGCCACAGCTCTTCCTGGAGGCTGAGACCAGCCACCAGGTGGCAGTCCTGTGCTGCAGTCTGCATTCACCCTTTACAGACTTGAGGGCCTTAATGCCTTCTTTTTCCAATTATCTCTACCTGTTCTCCCTCCTAAAGTCCTTCTCTCTTGGGTTCCCACTGAGTCTAGCAGATAGGAAAATGGAAGAAAAGAATTGAGAGACAAAATCATGGTGCATTTTTCTACCTTTTAAATAGTTTCATTTTTAGATACAGTCAACACTTCATATATGTGGGTTCCACAACTGTGGATTCAACCAATGATGGATGGAAAATATTTGAGGAAAAAACCCCACAATGGGTCAAGTGTGGTGGCTCACACCTGTAATCCCAGCACTTTGGGAGGCCAAGGTGGGAGGAATATTTGAACTTAGGAATTCGAGACCAACCTGGGCAACATAACAAGACCCCGTCTACAAAAAAGTACCAAAATTAGCTGGGTGAGGTGGCACATGTCTGTAGTCCCAGCTACTTGGGAGGCTGAGGCAGGAGGATTGCTTGAGCCCAGGAGGCAGAAGTTACAAACAGCTCAGATGACGTGACTGCACTCCAGCCTGGGCGCTACAGCAATATCCTGTCTCAAAAACTAAAAAATTCAAAAATAAAAAATAAAAAACAATGCAGTATAACAACCATCTACATTTATATGTATTAATAGCATTTACATTGTTTAGATATTCTAAGTAATCTAGAGATTAAAGTATAGGGGAGGATGTGCATACGTTATGGGCAAATACTATACTATGTTATGTCAGAGACTCGAGCACATGTAGATTTTGGAAGCCATGAGAATTCCTAGAACTAATCCCCTGTGGATACCAAGGGATGGCTGTATATGATAAGTGTGTAAAATATATATATATAGGAAGAATGAGAAAATCAAAATTAATTTTTTTCAGGGAAGATGGGCTTGATGGGACTTGATGGAGGATGGTCTGGGAGACTCTCCCCTTCTATGGAAACATTCCC